AAATGCATTACAGGATTAAGTCATAGTGCAGTGTGGAAGGTCCAGCCCTCAAGTGTCCAAGTTCAGAGGGAACTCAAGGTCCCAAGGTAAGGCTCACAGGAGGGGGGCAGAACTTAGAGACTAGGAGAGAGTGCAAGTGCAGAAGGGGAATTCTGAAAGGGGAAAGGGAAAAGGGAATAACTTAAAATCAGTTCACATAGGGGTATAGGGGAGTGGGGAATTTGCAAGAACACAAGAAGAGCAGGCTGATGGGCATACCCAGCAATGGGATATGCTGGCACACCCTCTAGCCCGTTTAGAGGTTAAGACCCATTGGTTCAAAACTCAGTTCATGGACAACAAATCATATTGCCATGCCCTAAGAGTCACCACTCACAAACACAAGGGGTACTGGGATAGGGAGCAAAGATTCACAAAAGAAGCAAGCCGTAGAACATAGGCATACTAAGCTAAAGGTCAAACTCTACAGAAAACAATAAAGTAGACTTGGATACAAAGACTGTAAGTAAACACATTAGAGTAATGCTGGAACTTAAATTAGGACATACCAGCTTCAAAGAAACAAGTAGAAGAAGCAGTAGTCTTGTTAAAGCCAAAGTGCAAACAGGGAGACAGGATAGTATAAGTGTGAGTTCAGAAGAGATTGTGAAGTCTGAAGTGTGTGTTTGTGAAAAGGGTCGTGCCTTTTATAGTGTAGAAGGAAGGCAGAAATAAGGTAAGAAATAATTAAAGAACTGATTGTCAATCAATTACACAAGGCTTCCCTCAATTAAGGGATTCAGATTCAAACGGGTATAACCATTTAAGGAAAGGAATTGAATAAACACTTTGTGCAAAGCATGCAATTGAGGGCAAACACATAAAGGTTATTTAAGGACAAGTTTTTTGAAATACACGGTTTGTGCAAATAAGGTAAGGGAATCAATTAACAGCCAGTAAACACAAGGTCTGAGATTTGGTATGAATGAACCAAGTCAGAAAAGGTGAAGAAAGGTTTTACTTAAGGAAAATCAGCAAACAATCAATTAGACTTATTTAAAAGGAATTCTGAATCAATCACAAGTTTGAAAACTTTTTTGAAGGAAGAGTCATCACATATAAAAAGCATACAGACACGTTAAGCATGAAAGAAACTTGTCATGCCATTATAAAGTCAGTAGAAACTCCAGTGTAGGAGAGTTTAGCAAAAAGTTCAGCATTGTATGAAAACAAAGAGTCCAAACTCCGTTCAGAGACTCCAAGTCAGTCTGAAAGAGTTAAGGGTTCTAAAAGAAAACCCTAGTTCGGGCAAACGATAAAGCAAAGACGAGAGAGCAGGCAATAGAATCGAAATCATGTTTAGAATTTTCAGAAAAGAGCATGCTTCTTTAGCAACAGAACTCATGAGAAAACATGATAGCAAAATAACATGCAAACAGTAGCAGGATTCAGAGGACAGAATGGAAAACACTGATAAGAACAGTAGAGGAAACATGCTTAAAAGGCTCTTTTTAGAAGAACTCAAACAAGGCTCGGTAGAAGTAAAATGGTAAGAACACTTAAGAACAAGGTAGAAAAATACAGTAGAGAGATTCAAAGAACATAATGGAAAACACTTGTAGGAACAGTAGAAGAAACATGCTTAAGGAGTTTTCTAGAAGAAACTTAAACAGGGCTCAGTGGAAGGCAAACATGGAAACTTTAAGAACTTAGTAGGAAAATACAGTAGAAGAACACAAGAGTACCAGAAAATTATAGCAGAAAAGCACATATAGGAAAACACAGTAAGATAAACATACAAGAGCATGGTAAAAGGAAAAACACAAGAACACAGTAGAAGAACGGAATATAGAAAGCACAGTAGAGGAACATACGTGGTAGAAGGAAAACGTAAGAACACAGTAGAGTCAAATACACACAAAAGAAAAGGGGAAGAAGATCAGATAAACACTTAAGCATTTTCAGAAACCCTAGATCGTAAAAAAAAGACCCTGGAAAGTAATTTTTTGAAGGAAAAGTTGGGGAAATTATTTGAAAACTCAAGTAGAGCATAGATACACAACAGATCTAAAAAGATCGGAGAAAAACCTCGAAGGGTTAGGGTTTCAGAAGAACCCTAGAGTGAGAAAGGCTTTGAAAAGGTCACCGATCTGAGTCGGAGAAGTCAGAACCAGGATCAAAACACCATGGTACGCCGGAGCAAGGCCGGCGATGACTCTGAAACCTTGAATCGGCAGAGGTCTGAGTGAAAACCTTCGAGGTCAGGCCTCAAATCTTCAGGTATCCAATGTGTAAGAGCAAAGGGAGGTGAGTATAAGACTCCCATAGCCTGATAAGCCATGGTTAAGATGATGAGATGTGGCTAGGGTTAGGAAGGTTCGAGAGAGTTTGAGAGTGGAGAGGGTTTCAGAGGCGGCGGGTGAATGAAAATGATTTAGGGTGGGTGTTTGTGAATTAAAAAAGGAAAGGGGGAATTATGGCCGTTGATCAAAATGATCAACGACCTGGATCAAAAGGGGAAGCCGGGCGGGTAAAATAAACGGGTTAGGGGCGGGTAATTTAGGAATAGGGCCGGGCCATTTGAAATTGAAATTGGGGTTTAGTTGGGGGTTGATTTGGGCTAAAATTGAAATAAAATAGGGCTAGTATTTAAATAGTCACTTTTTCCCTTTTTATTTTGTAGAAATAATAAAATGATTTCTGGAAATAAATTAAAGGTACTAAATTAATTAATGATATACAAATATTAAATTAAAAATACTGGAATCAATTTTGTAATTATAAATGCAATTAAATCTTAAAATAGGCTAAACTTGCAATTATATGCAATTTAGCTTTAAAAATACTAAATAAATTTGTAAAAATGTGTAAAAATTACCTTAGCTATATTTTGGTAGAAATATGAGAATAAACTAAATTATTCACCAAAATGATAAATTTGGAAATAACTATTGGTTTTTGTACTGCTAAAATAGGCAATAAATTGATTTAAAAATCCTTTAAAAATTAGGAAAAGTACTAAAACATTTGGACACACTTACATATCCATATATATATATACTATTTTGAAAGTATTTATCATATATAAAAATATACAGGGAAAAATTGGGTATCAACACCCCTCCCCCTTCTTCTCTCCAATTTTTTCTCACTTCACAAAATCTCCTCCCCTTCTCCCTCTTCTCTACTCAACAACTACCCAAGCTCCATTCCTCACAAGATTTTCAAGTAAGTACATGCTTCTACCTTTTTTTTACGGAAAAGGGCCAAATGTGTACCTGTACTATTGAAAATTAGTTATTAGTACCCTCCGTTATACTTTCCCACATTATTTATCCCTAACTTATCTATTTTAATATCCTTACCTCCATCACTAACGGACCCTTCTAGAGGGACACATGTCTTAATCCTAAACGACCTAACCACTTACCAGTTGGATCCCTCACCCGTTTGGCCCCGACCCGCTAACCCACGTCCCCCTTAACCTAGCCCGGTATATACGTTAAAACAAAAAAAGGACCTCATTTCTCTCTAAAGTCTAACCTTACCTACCTAAAATCATGCGACTTTCACTCTTACCGCCGATTACAATCTGCCGATTTTCATGGTCTAAAGGTAAATTAATTCTTCTACCATAGTAAAAGCTTAGCCTTAAGATTTTTTCAGTTGATTAAAACTTATTTTTTTCATGTTTGGTTTCAGTGACTAAAATATCTAGGGTTTATCAGATTTTGTTATTGAGGTTGGGGTTTCGTGTCTGGGTCCTATTTTTTTATGATTTTCATTGCAAAGTCTAACACTTTAAGCAGAATGTGGGGTTTTATACATGGCTTTAACTTTATGGATTATTGTATTTGCATATGCAAGTGATGGTGGTCCCGAATGTATAGTATAATAGTTCATTTTGTCTTAAAGGCATTAACTTTATTAGTTGTTGTATTGCATGTGGCTGATTTGGTGGTCCGGGTTATCTTTATGTGCTTTGTCTTTTACGATTTTTGAACCATGTTCTGTCCCTTTGTCTAGGGATGTTACTTCACTATTTTTTATTAGCTTAATTGGATGTTGCTTTACTATTTTTTTATTAGTTTCTTTCCGGCTGTATTTTATAATATCGATTAGTTAAGTTGTTGTTTAGCTTATTTTATGGTTTAGCTTCTAATTGTTTAATATGTCAATTGATTACAGATTACTATGGTTAATTTGGACTTGATATTTAACTATGGTGGGGAATGGACTAGAGAGCCACAAGTCAAATACACAAAGAAGTTGTTACACACCTGGGAAGGTTATGACTCTGACCATCTATCCTTTATAGATATAGTTAATGAGTTTTGCACTAAGTTATATTTTGGTGGGGTTCAACAAGTTATTGTATCTGCTCCTTCTGGTAGATACTATGAAGTTGACGGGGATAGTGGTATTAGGAAACTGTTAGGAATGGTTTGTAGTGATTATAATGTTGTTGATATATTTGCTGTAGAGGATTGTGAGTTGGCAGTGAATGTACCTGATATTTTACATTATGGTGAGAATGAACCTAATGATGTTGCACTTGACCATGAGGCTGCAACTGATTGTAGCTCAACAGATGGTGAGTTTGATAATGAATCTGACTCTGATTCTTCAGATTATGATTCTGAAGAATTAGAATTTATTTCAACTCAGAGGAGTATGAGTATAATTGAGCAGTTGCTGGATTACAAAGAACTGGATAAAAATATGAGCTTTAAGATATTCCTGAAGCTAGGAAGTGTCTAAAACTGTATGCTATGGCAAATAAGAAAGAGATAGTGCTTAAGAAAAGTGATACAAGAAGGCTTAGGTATGAGTGTCAAGTAGGTTGTCCATTTGTTTGCCTAATTTCTAAGGATGGGGACTGTCCAGGGGTTAGAGTGAAGACACTAAATCCAAATCATAATTGTTTCATTGCTTATAATAATAGCACTGTTGACTACTTCACTATTGCACATTATTTTATGAGGAAGTTGTAAGACAATCCAAAATATAAAGTGAAAGAGATGAGGGCTGATTTGAGAGCTGCATTTGAGCTTAATGCAAGCCATGGTAAATGCAAGAGAGCAAAAACACTTATTCTGAATAAGCTACAGGGAAGCTTTAAAGATGAGTACAACAAGCTAGAGGGTTATGTTAATGAATTGAAGATTAGTAACCCTGAAAGTGATATAATAATTAATTTGTCAAAAGATGCTCTTCTTGAAGGCAAGAGGAGGTTCTTAAGAATGTATACTTGCTTTCATGCTATGAAAATGGGTTTTAAGGAAGGTATGAGACCTTTCATTGGACTGGATGGAACATTTCTGAAGGGAAAAGCTAAGGGTCAGCTTTTAGTTGTTGTTGGTCTTGACTCAATGAATCATTTCTACACTATAGCTTGGGCTATAGTGGACAAAGAAACAAAGAGAACTTGGGACTGGTTTTTGGAAATGCTAAAGATGTCACTGGAGCTCAACATGGGAGAAGGATACACTTTTATTTCGGATATGCAAAAGGTAGTGTTTCTGTCCATGTTATTTTATAGTTATTTCAGTTTCTTTAAACTTGTGACTGGTTCTTTAAAACTAATGTTGTATTCATTATGATTTGTAGGGGTTGGTTGAGGCAATGAAAACTGTTTTACCTGATGCTAATCATAGGTATTGTGTCAGACACATTGAGGCTAATTGGTGTAAAAGATGGAGATCTGGAGAAATGAAAAAGCTGCTGTGGTGGAGTGCATGGTGCACATATGAGGAGGATTTTGATGATCAATTGAAGAAGATAGGGCATATGGATGAAAATGCAGTGAAGGATTTGCTTCATTACCCTCCCCAGTCATGGTGTAGAGCATTTTTTGACACTGTATGCAAGAATATGGCTGTCGACAACAACTTTAAAGAATCATTCAATGCATGGATCCTGGATGTAAGGTACAAACCTATAATTAAGATGTTAGAGGACATTAGGGTGAAAGTGATGGAAATGTTGAGAGAACATGAGGACAAAGTGAAGTCATGGACTACTGACTTTAGTCCTTATTCCATGAAGCTTTATGAAGGTTATTTGAGGATTGCACATAAATGCAAGGTTCACTTTAATGGTGACCGGGGCTATGAAATATCCGAAGGGCCTGATAGACATACAGTAAACATAGTCTTGAAGGAGTGCAGCTGTAGGGCTTGGCAACTATATGGAATACCATGTCCTCATGCCATTAGGGCATTTGTATACAAAGGTCTTGACCCTTTGGAGGGAATACATTGGTGGTATAGCAAAGAGGCAACATTAAAGACATATTCACACAAGATACTGCCTGTTAGGGGAGAAAAATTCTAGAAGGCAGTCCCTGCTGATGCAATGGAACCACCACAGATAGTGAAGTTAGCTGGCAGACCTAAGGTGAGGAGAACAAGGCAAAAGGATGAAGCAATTAAGAGACAAAGTGAATGGTCTATGTCAAGGAAGGGGAGGGTTATGAATTGCAGCAATTGTAGAGAACCAAACCACAACTCACGAGGGTGTAAAAAGGTAACTGTTACTATAATTAGATAATTAGTTTTTAACAAGTGATATCTACATTATTAATAAGTCTCATTTATTAATGACAGCCATCTAATGGAACTCTACCACAGAAAAGGAAGACAACTGAAAACTATGAAGATATTGATGAAGACATACCTTTGTCAGGGCCTGAACAATCTCAAGCTAGTGTAGGCTCCAGCAATCCTTTTGTGTTCGTTCCTACACCAGTTTTTTCTCACTTAAAGAGGCTCCAGAAATCTGTTAGTTCCACATGTTCTCTGCCAGTTATCCAAGATGCGGAAGATCCTGCTTTAAGGCCAAAGGTCATATCGGAGATGGGGAAAAGTCTTCAAATGAGACAGGAACCCAACCTTACAGATGGAACAAGAGTCATCAACTTAAGAGGTGATTCAACTGGTGTGAGTCAGCCCTCAATTCTGTCATACTCACCTAGAGGACTCACATGGAAGGGGAAGGAAGCTCTAACTACTAACAAACTGGAGATGCAAGCGCAGGAGAAGATTGGGAAGCTTAGGGCAAGAAAGGGGAAGCGAAACATTGCAGGACAATATGTTTTTGAAGTAATAGTATTTTGTCTAAACAAATTGGTTTGGTGCTGTAATTTATGACTTCTGACAGTACATTTAACTCTAGTTTTAAATGCTTTGTTGGTACTGACAGTTGGATGCCATAGTATGACCTAGGTGGTAACTTGTTTTGGGGTTATAATATGGCATCCGTGTGTCTATTTAACTGTATGTTGACAGTTAACTTTTGCTACTAATGTTAATGGTAAATTAGACTATTTCAGTTTGTTATTTCAGTTTCTTTCCTTATTGCAACTTATATGATTAGTAGTGTAGTTTTATTTGGATAAGCACAAGTTCATTTATGTAGCTTGAGTAGCAGTTAAATTGTGTGACTCATTTCTATTTAGGAACAAGTTCATGAAGCTCACATCATATTAACCAACAAAAATAGGTGAACACAAACTAATATATACAATCTGGAAAGTAAAAATCCAATTAGCCAACAAAAAAGTACACAATGCACTACTGCCACTTAAGTTAATCATTCATGATACTTAACAAAATACAAACTAGATTTCACCAACTACTACTAATATCTATTAGCCATACAAGCTGCAAATAAGCTAGCAAATAGGACCCAATATATCATAGTAAAGATCTTCAACTTCAAGACTTTGGCTTCCAATTTCCTTGAATTGGTCATTTCCCAGCGAATTGCAGCCTCCATTTGTTCATTTTTTCCCTTCAATATGTCTCTTGTTTTGGTGCATTCAACCTCATTTATTGCCTCTAATGCTTCCAATTTTTCCTTCAATTTCAGCCTTTCAATCACAGCCTCCAGTTGCGCTTTCAACTTACAAATAATTATCATAGCTCTGTCGGGTAACACTTCATCAGCCCATTGAAAATAACCACACGAATATTTCTGAAAAACAAAATCATACACCATATTATAAGTGAAATTTCAGAAAATGAAAACCATAAAATTATCATAAAACCATGAAAACCATAGAATATACGATATTAACCTCAGGTTTCGGACATTTGTAGAATCTCCTACCAGCATTCCAAGGAGTGTAAGCCATGAGGTAGAGTGCAGTTAAGCCACATTTGCATGTCCTAATCGACACACATTCTTGAGACGATGAACTACCTTCTGACATTGTAACTGCCTATTCTTGAAAATTAGACAAAATAATAAAGAAAATAAAGATGATGAGAGGAACCAGAAGAAAATCGCGATGAGAGAAACCAAAAGAAAATTGCTTCAGTTGGGGAATAACCCTAGGTTTTGAGAGGATTAAACGATTACATCTTTTGAGGGGGATGTGGGTTAGCGGGTCGGGGCCAAACGGGTGAGGGATCCAACTGGTAAGTGGTTAGGTCGTTTAGGATTAAGACACGTGTCCCTCTAGAAGGGTCAGTTAGTGATGGGGGTAAGGATATTAAAATAGATAACGTTAGGGATAAATAATGTGGGAAAGTATAACGGAGGGTACTAATAACTAATTTCCAATAGTACAGGGACACATTTGGCCCTTTTCCGTTCTTTTATTTCATTGTATCTTAATGCCGGATCATGTTTCCAGCTTATCCCTCGATTCTGTAGTCCATCCACATTCATAGAACAAATGGCTATGTGTTTCCTCATTTAAATCATCGCATAACTCACACATTGTGGAGTTGATCTGAATCTGCAATCTGCTCAACCTTTCTTTCATTAGAAATCTCTTATGACTTGCTAACCACAAAAGAAATATGTGCCTCGGCAGCAACATTGAGCTCCACACCAGGTCTGCCTCCTTATATCTATGTACATTGTTCAGCAATGCTTGGTAGCTACTTGACACTGAGTATTTTCCATTAGGTTTCAACCAATATCTATCATTATGGTACCAGTGAGTCATCTCTGCTTTAAGGAAATTTAATTTCCTCTAATATTAAGTACTATCTTGAGGTGGTGTGTGATTCCAAAAATCTTACTATCTTTCAAATATAATCTATGGACCCATCTAATCCATAAAGTGTCTTTTTTCATGGCCAGTTACTATATCAGTTTTGCCCACTAAAGCCACATTCCACTTAGCACAATTTTTGAGATTCAACCCTCCATACTTCTTAGGGACACAAACTCTATCCCAAGAGACTAAGACAATCTTCCTCCGATCCTCCTTACTCCCCCATAGGTTGTCTTTGCATTATTTATCAACTTCCTTGAGAACACTCTGTGGGGTATGAAAATTTCTCCCCAAAAGTTGTATAAGGAGAACAATATTGTTTGTGATTTTTAGGGTTGGGGGTGTCTGGGAAATTAAAAAGGAAAGGGGGAATCTTGGCCGTTGATCAAAACGATCAACGACTTGGATTAAAAGAAGGGGCCAGGCGGGTTTTTTAATTGGGTCGGGGGCCGAGTTAAAAATGAAATTGGGCTGGTCCAATTGGGGGTTAGGATTGGGTCAATTGAGGGTTAAAATTGAAATGTAAATAGGCTGTAATTTAAATGAAATGAGGCTAAATGTATAGCCAGTTTTCCCTTTTATTAAAAATAGTAAAAAAGATTTTAAAAGCAAATTAAAAGTACTGAGCCAGTTAATAATATATAAATATTAATTAAAAAAATACTGGAACCAATTTTACAGTTATAAAATGCTATTAAATCTTAAAGTTGGCTAAAATTGCAATTATATGCAATTTAGTCTTTTAAATACCAAATAAATTTGTAAAAATATACAAAAATTACCTTAACTATATTTTTGTATAAATATGGGAAATAAAATAAATTATCCACCAAAATGATAGTTTTGGGAATAATTATTGGTTTTTATACTGCTAAAATGGGCAATAAATTAATTTTAAAACCCTTTAAAAATTAGAAAAATACCAAAACACTTGGGCATGCTTATATATGCATGTACATGTTATTTTGAAAGTATTTTGTGTATAAAAATATATAGAAAAAAATTGGGTATCAACAGCGGATGGTGGTGAGAGGTGAGGGTGATAGAGACGACATACCAGGGGTCTTAGGTTATTGTTTGGTCGTTTGGACAGTCTTACGTGAAAACGATGAAGCCCTTATGGCCATTAGATGAAAACAAATGAAGGGCCAGGATCCCTTTTTGGCCAGTTAACTCGAAACGACGTAGTACTGCCTTAATACTACATTGTTTAAATTGTTTAGAAGACTGAAGGGTTTGGACCGGGTTTGGGCTGGAATTGGGGCGGGTTTAACGTGTTTCAGGGGGGAAATGAATTGGGCTGGTGGTGAAGAATTGTATTAGCCCAAAAACTTCCTTCTTCATTCTTTTCTCTTTTCTTTCCTTTTTTCATTTTTTCTGATTTCAATTTTTTCAAAAATTCTTTTTTTTTTCAAGATTAGATTAATATCTAAATTAAATCCTAGAACCTAATTAACCTGAAAAACACTAATTAAACCTAAATGATAATTATCATAATTAATAAAAAAACAAATTAAAAGAAAAACTATTCAAAATCAAAGTTAAAATTAAAATTGCAAATTAAACTATTTTTGTGATTTTTCCCATTTCATAAAACAACTAATTTGCTAATTAATCCTAAAATGTAGAATTAAATTCTAAATGCAAATGCCACGTATTTTTGTATTTTTCGTTAATTAAATAAAATAAAAATGCACAGATAAATGCAAACAATTAACAAAAAATGCCAGAAAAATCCATAAAATTGCAAATAATGAAAAGAGATTTATTTTCTTGAATTTATGGGAGTAATTCATATAGGGAAAAAATCATGTGCTCACACATGGTAGAAGTACTGTTGCAGCGAAGGAGCAAAGTTGCATGGTTGAAGCTAGGTGATGACAACACTAGCTATTTCTATTCAGTAATCAATCACATAAGACTTCAACAGGCAATCGCATAGATAAAGGACAAACATGGCGAATTTCAACATGAATCCACATCAATTGCCAACATACTTGTAGAGTTTTATCAAGAGTTGCTGGGATAGAAAGGCCACAACAGAACAAGGGCATTTAGAAGTTTTTACTTAATGGAACAGTACTAACAATATAATAGCAGCTACAACTGGTTCAACCATTTAATAAAAAGGATGTTAGAAAATCTATGTTAAAACATTTATAAGAACAAAAACCCAGGTCCAAATGGATATGGGAGTGAGTTCTTCAGAGCAGCCCGGAAGATCATAGGGACAGACATCACTGAAGCTACTTTGAATTTTTTGAGAATAGAAAACTACTAACTCAGTTGAATGCTACAATGATATCTCTAATTCCTAATATTGAAG